AAAAATTATAAAAATATATTTATATCATTATGATTAATCAAAGTGTAAAAATTCCAAAATCATTCAAATTATTTTAAAAGAAAATGTATCTTTATTCCTTGTTTGCGATGTAATAATTTCAATTATTATTTCTAATCGTTATTACTTTTTAATTATTATAATTATTTTTAATTCTCATTTTAATCATAATTATACATTTTTCATTATTATTATTTTTTAATCATTATAATTGTTACTTTTAATTATTATTTTAATCATAATTGTGAATCACAGGGAGCGAAAAATCGCAATGACTCATTCGCAATTCTGTCAACAAGTTAATAAAAATACATATGTTAACAATGAAAACAAATCTAGATAGATATATTTTTACTTGAGAAAAAATAAGAGAGAATTAATCCGACCAATTGATGACGCAAATGTAACGTATTTTTATTTGAGAAAAAATGAGAGAGAATTAATCCGACCAATTGATGACGCAAATGTGACGTCTGTTAATGCACATTATTCTGAGTATATTCAGCCAAACTGAGTTCCCCATATGCGTGATATCACTTAAAGAGGCCTGCGACCTCGCAAATTAAAACTTGAGACTGGTATTTTAAGAGGGATCGATTTGCGGTATCGAATTTTGCATATATTATTAAAAAAATTTAGACTGAAAATTGAAAAAAAAAAGAGAAAATTCATTTAATAATTTTCCAATTTTTTATCTTTACAAAAGTACCCTAAAAATGTTCAAATCGGTCTGGATACTTTTGTTTAGAGGTTTTTAGGGTCGCTGATTACGATTCTAAAGTCAGAATCTCAAAATTTAAAATGGCGGATCCAATATGGCGATCAAGTACACGATTTAAAAAAATCGTAATTACGGTCTTTTCTGACTTCAAATTTGTAATCTACGATCCCAGAAACCTTAGAAAATGATTGCGTTTACTTCGCAACCCTTTCTAAAAACTCGTGCATATTGGTTAACGTTCAAGTCAGGGAAAATTCTTGCGCAGGAGGGTTAATATAAGAAAAGAGGAAAGGAAAAGAAGTCAATGTAATTGTTAGCAAAATATTTACATAACACTATTTATAGCACGTTTATAGCGAGAGCAGCTCAGATACAGGGGGAAAAAAACGTCACGCCCATCATCCTTCGTACACGCAATGATGATAAAAAAAAATTATGCTGTTTCTGCACATATTTCGAATTCCATGCGTCGATAATTGCATCGTATACGCACTTGGTGCATGCATTCTGAAGGCCGAAGTTAATGCATCAATGATTATAAATCGCGTGAATTTTTTCCATTTCATGCGAGCAGGAGACAATTGGATCATGGAATAATAAGCTCATCTTATAAACGAGAAGAAATATATTCTTTAATATATTAGAAAGAAAGATTTGGCCGCGAAATTTTGGCACATTTAATTATTGGATCGTTGCATATGAAATAAACGCAAGTTATACGATGTTCTTATAAAGTAAACACTTTTTTAATATTAATATTAATATTAATATTTTAATATAATTTTTAAAATATTAATATTAATAAAGTATTAATATAATTTTAAAATATTAATATTAATATTTTTTTAATATTATAAAATAAATATTTTTTGTATTTATCAGTCAAAGATTATGTACGAATAGAAATATGAAGTATAGATATTGAATATAAATTGATATAAATATATATTTCACGAAAATTGGAGCGTATTTTTTTATGAAAAAAATCATGTCACATGAAGGTGATCGTTGAGATAAAATTGACATCTCGCATGCGATCATTTAATATCTAGCATCTAATATTTATAAAGCCTGTTATCTGGATACTGCTCGTTATCAATAAGCAATATCCTTTTCTGTGAGAGAGAATATTGAATATATTAACCGGTATTTTCCAGTGCGAGGATCTAAAAGAGGATCAATGGCAGGAATTAGAGTAGGGTGTATTACCGATACATATAGATCCATTATCGATTGGAAGTGTATGTGACATTTGTTACATGCGAGTCTCGCGAGTGCACGTGCACCAATCTGACATTGACCAATTGTAAGCTCCAATCGCGAATCGCTTCAGTCATACGCGTATCGGAAATTACTTCCGGCAACCGAAACGTTCATACATCCTGTGTGACAAGTCCGACAATTATACCCCATTTTGTGGTTTTTCATCGCGTGTTACAAATTACACGGGTACCTCGGAACGCAACGGATATCGCGTGGCGTTTTTGTAAAGTGCTATCAGTTGCGGTATTTCACGTTAACAACTCTGTCGTCGAGGAATACTTTATTGTTGAAAAATTATATATCTAAGAGATATTACATAAGCTGCACATTTCGTCATCGATATCATATCGAAACATTTTTTTTTTACATTACATATTGTATGCTATATAACTTTGTGATAACATAGTTATTTCATTGTGAATCTGGGATACAAAAAATAGGAGTAATTTTGTTCTGTATCAAAATTATATTTTTAAATTCTATTTTTTATTATACATTTCTGTGTATTAATATTATATTAATGTTATATTAATATAATATGAATATTATATTAATGTTATATTAATTGTATTAATATTAATAAACTGTAATTTTTCAACAATATTATTAATATTTAATTACGTAGGTTTTTATATTTGTGATATTTTTTTTCATAATAAATAATACTTGATATTATCAAACATTCTATTAAATTATTCAGCAATAATTTTACTGTATTTTATTCGATGTAATATTGTTTTTCTTCCAAGAACTGTGTGTTACATATGGATACATATCTCTTTCATTTATAGTAACGAATCTATGCAACACGCATAAGAATAGCTAGTCGATAATGACTCCGATATGACTCCTGTGTAACTTTCCTATATAAGTTTAGTATCATCCTCTTAGCAAGTTCAAATAGTTGTACGCATAAAGTTTTCTACCACCTGCGTTGAACGCACGATATGACGCTGCTTCATGCATACCAGTAAAATCAAGTTCTTATAGTCCTCTATGAAATCGCACTTATATCGACACAAGCCAGTCAAAGGTCTATAAAAAAACGCAACTTTGAATACTTATTATCTACTAAAAGGACTTTCTCTCTCGTTGTATCTTATACCGTATTACAGTGAAACTAGACGAAGAGATACACGGTAGATAGTTATTTTACGGAAATGGTAAATTATTATTTCTCTGCGGTATTTTTCCGGTTTAATTCGAATGAGATTTTTATCGATTACATTTTATTTGGCAAATTTAAATCCTTAATTATTATTTCAGATAAGTACTTCGCTCCAGATCTGTGCCATAAATTTAAATTCTTGAAATATTTGAAATATATATAAATATTTACGTACACATTTGCACAAGTAAACTTATCAATTGATAATAAAATATCAGGAGATAGCGATTCGCTTAAGCCTCGATTATTTACGCAGAATATTAAATTATTTAATTACGTCATAAAAACAATTATCAAAAAATAATTATCTTTCTATTATTATAGTTCTAGATATTGTCTATATATTTTTATATAAATATATAAATTATTATATAAATACATTATTATTACATAAATATATTTATAGATATTATCTATATTTATAGATCTTTATTATACCTATATCTTTAGATATTATCTAAATTATAGTTTAACATTTGCGAGATTTTCTTTCTCCGAATTTTTCTACGCAAACTGATCTCGGATAAAATAAATTTTTTAAATAAATTTTTTTTAAATATCTTTTTCTCTAAAGATCATATCATATTCTCGATGGTATGATATGTGTTTAATAAATCATTTCCGTTATAGATTCTTGGATATTGAATCGTGCAATACCCAGGCATGTATCCTGACGTTAGATCGCTAAATGCGACGTTAATGAGTGTATAAATTTTAACACATCGATAATAATTGTGACAGGCCGAGTTCGTTAGCGTCGCGTTCGGTCGGCACTTTTCTCTTGATGTTCCGCGTCTTCCCTCCAGCGACAGAGGCAGGAGGAGGAGAGACAGTGGGTGCCGACGCGATAAAGGGAGCTGTCAAGCGGCTGTGATCTATTAATAGCTTTACAAATGATTGTCGTTATGCACCTTGAAGCGGTAACCGAGTTTCGCGTTAATGTACCACGTATATAATGTGGCTGATCGCGCGAATCTACTTACGTTCGCTGTCGTCTGCCGGTGTGTTGTGTACGGCTTCGTATTAACCGGCAGTCAGCTTTGTTCGAGATAATTAGATTACGTAAAAACCACGCTATTAAATAAAGAGAAGATTTATTCAGTCAGGTTGATGCAAAATATTTGACAGTTGTATTTGGAAAAACACCTGTTTTCTTTCAATTATTATTCAACTATTATGTCAGAGTGCCTAGTGAAAAATCGGAAATTCTCAAGATTTTGTATTTTTTGTAGAAAAATCAGAGAATTTTCTCGTGGAATTTAATTGGGATTTAGGGAATTTTTTTAAAAATTCGCTCTTTTTGATTATTTTGCTTTTATAATAAACTTTTTTAGTGTAAACAGTAAATTATACGTATAAAGTATATTATAAATATATATCTATTTTGATTTTTGTATTTAATGTCTTAAAAATATACGTATTTTGTATTTTAATTTTTATTGATAAGAAATTAACATTTTATACAAAGAAAATGTTTATCTTATGAAAGTTATTCAGATGTTTTCAATTTACATTTATAAATATAACATCTTGAAACTTAAAAAGCTTTATGTTTGTCATACGAGTGAAAAATATTAGAAAACACATGCAATAAAAAAATTTATTTTTTTAGAAAATTACATAAAAAAAAATCTTTAAAATATTCTCCTTACGTGTAATTTTCAAATAATTATTTTACAAAATTTTAGTAGACACCCTGTATATAAATATATATAATCTTATTAATTCTTGACGGGGAATATTAATTTTATTATTTAATTTATTATTTAATTTATCGTTTAATTTTATTTTACATATTCTAATTTTCTCTCTCTCTCTCTCTGTTCGCAGAATTCATTTGGCAGACCCGACGACATCGTCGCCGCAGAGACCCTAGCGAATCACGTACGATGTAACAACTCCTTCGTGCACGCCGTGTTTCAAGCACAGTTTCGGTCTAGTTTGACCTGTCCGAGATGTCATCGGCAATCCAACACCTTCGACCCTTTTCTCTGTGTGTCGGTACCGGTGCCGCAGAATCACCGTCAGATGAATCTCTACGTGAACGTCCTCTACACGTCTCAGCAACCCCGGCAAGTTAAGATCGGCGTGAGTGTGAATCAAGCGGCCAACGTGAGAGAGCTGAGAGAAATCCTTGCCAGCGACACCGGCGTAGACGAGAATCATATGCTATTAACCGAGATCCATGACGAAGGATTTCACAGGTAAAGACAGGAGACAATGAACTTGTAACGGCAAAAAAAGATCTTTTTTTAATAAATTAAAGCGAAAGATATTTATTATTTTGGATGGCGATCCACCTTTTTCTTCCAGTTGTTTCACTATCTTTTTAACAACAAATACCGCGTTTTTTGTTTCTACAAGATCTCTACAACAAAAATGTGAAAAAAACTATGAAATCATTAATTATTAATCGCAAAAATATCATATATAAAAATAAATAGTCAAAATTATTTTTTCATGAAGAAATTCTAATCTATTATGAAAATTAAAAGGGCAATTTTTTATGAACTTGGTAGATTCTAAAATATTTTAAAAAATTTTTCAGAATTTTCATATTTTTTATTATGAATTTTATATAAAAATACAATATTTTCTGTCTATCCAGACTAATTGTATTTTTTTTTAACTTTCTCTTTAAGAGTTCTGAGCCATAAAATCCGAATTTAAAGGGAAAAAATTTAATTTTCTGTCATGTTGGATTTGCTATTGTGAATTTTTTAATGAAAATTTTAATATCAGTTTTGGATTCAGAAAACCTCCAGAAAACAAATTTGTTAAAATTTTAAAGCAAAAATATATGAAAAAGGTTAAAAACTTTACGTTAAAATATATATTATAAGTGTAAAAATAATATAAAAAAATATATAAAGCAAATATCTAATGAAAATTAATCAATTTTATTTACATATTATGATAAGAGAGTATAAAAAATGGAAAAGTACGAAAAAAATTCTTAACAATTTCTATCGATTTACATATATGTATATTGTTTCAGTTACACTTCGCAGTGCTTCGTGTCATTTGCATAGATATAGCTCACACATTTCAATAATGATGAAAACAACACAAGAAAAAAGAAAATAAGAGATATTTTTCTCCGCAGAACCTTCTCCGACTGTCAACCTCTATCCGTGATTATGGAGAACGATCCGCTTTACTGCATCGAACTGCCACAATTGAAGGAGCCTACGGAACAAGCATACATCTTGCTGGTGTGGATCAATGTTCTCGTAAAGGGGGATCTGAAGCATCGTTTTGGCAGCCCGTATACGATGCAAGTTTCGCGGGAAACGTCGTACGAGGATTTGCAGAAATTATTACTCAAGGAGATGCACAGTACGCTAGCGGACGATGTTCTCACGACCAGCCAGAGCCCCGGACTTTTCAATATTCGCGTGGCGGATCCAGCAGCGACGCCGATTCAAGACGAGCATCCCTGTATCGATCCCTGTGTCGAGCATCCGCTCTACACCGAGCAGATCGAGCAAGCATTGGCACTTTGCGCGGACGATTCCGGACCGCAGCACGTGAAGCTGATCCTCGAATGGGACGAGGCCACCAAGCGCAATATTATACAGGACGATAGCGATCAGATTGAGGAGCACGCCAGCGTGAAACAACTCAAGACCAATTCCGAATTGGGCGGCGCGGTCACCCTGGAGGAATGTTTCGATCTGTACACGCGTGCAGAGATACTGGGCGCGGAGGACGCGTGGCATTGTCCTTACTGCAACAAGAAACAGGAAGTTGTGAAAAAACTGGGTCTCTGGTCGTTGCCTGATATATTAGTCATACACTTGAAGAGATTCCGCCAGCAGTCTAAGCAGCGGTCAACGTCCAAGCTGACTATGCTTGTGGACTTTCCTTTGTACGGCTTCGATATGACGCCGCATCTGGCCCACAATGGCGTTCAGGCGACGCATAATAGTGTCACCAGCCTAGGTGGCCTGGGCTGGTCGCCTTGGAAGAAACCGCGTCCGCGACAACACAATATCCCCAAGTACGATGAGAATGTGTACGACCTCTATGCAATATGCAATCATCACGGGCAGGATCTCCAGGGTGGACATTACACGGCGTTTTGTCGAAATCCATACGACACGCAATGGTATTGCTTTGACGACACGCGCGTGGAAGCGGTGAACGACACGAATTTAATCACTAATTCGGCGTACATGTTATTTTATCAACGAAGAGGCTTGTCCAATAATTCCACGGGAAATTCATCCGCGGCGTCCACGAGCTCGGCCGGCTCTGGTCTGGATCACTGGGTATCGAAAATGCCGCCGTTTTATTTCAACAACAAGAGCACCAGTGATGTTACGAACAATAAGCAAAGTAAATCGCAAGAGATACTCTGTCAGGAGAAGATTGTCGAAGAGAAGAACATGACTAATTTCACTAGAGGTTGCGGCAATTACGCGACTTTACAGCCAAAGAAGAGGAACGCGGCGACGGAAACCGACATCGGACAGATGGATCATTATTCGGACGACGAGACACCTTGCAGAAGGGAATGGGTACGCAATATACATCTCTTCTACTATTATCAAGACCAAATATATGTTTCATGTTTCATTTTTTTCTGAGATTAAATCAGAGGAAAGAGAAACAAACGTGTTGTAAATTAATATTTGTTTGCAGGGCTCTCCTAAACCCGTGCGGAAGACTTCATCCATTACATTGACGCCACACATACCATCAACAATAATTCAGAATGCCAGCAGTGATCCGAATACAACCGTGATACACGAATCCACGTTGTAACATACGATATAAGCCAGGCTGAGATGTCTGGCTCGAGCGATGCTCAATGTACAGTGCCTGGTGTGCCGTGATGTTTGAATAACGTCGAGTGGGGTGAGATAAAAGAAAAGAAAGAAAGACTACACCGATAGAATATAAATTCGTTATTTTTCGATTACCGAATGTGGGACGATATAATTTAGAGACACCAAAAAATCGTTCCTCCAGCTCGAATTTATATAGATTTTTTTTTTGTACAGAGATGCTGAGATAGATAACATGGATTTCAGCGGCATGCTTCTCTCCGCGCCTGTCCTTTCAAAATGTGTAATAAATTTACACGCAGGCGATCTTTTGAGGATAATAGAAAATATGAGGCATTAGTAATTTTTGTAATTGTAATACCATGTTTGTATACAGCTCGCGTGGATTGTATTATATTATAATAATAGCTGCTAAAAAATAGCTTTTTAAAAGAACCTTATACTCAATTATACTTATATATAAAAAAATCGCGTATTCTTAAGAAAGAGAGAGAGAGAGAGAGAGAGAAAACTTCTAGTGTTTATATATTATGTATCTAGAACTTCAATACAATAGGCAACTAAATTCTACATTGTGTCCAGAAGAAGGATATTTCCGAAATGACAATTTCGTGCAATTATGTAACGCGTTTAATAATATTATGTCAACGTAAACATCATAAGCATTGTGTGTTTATCTTACAATGAAAGTATATGACAATAACAAAAAATTTATACATTATCGATTCTGCGTTAATACACGTTTTCTCTACAATATCGTTTCGTTTCTGGACATACTATGTAATCATTGACCATTGCTTTGAATCTATGTTTAATTGTAATATTTATATTATACCTGTATCATCTCTCCACTAGTGGCCTTATCTAAATAATTAATACTGATGCACACACGTCATTATTAAGCACATTATTCAATCTTATTACTTATAAGCGTTTTATTTTAGATACAGAGATTTTGTTTTTGCAAAAGTCGTCGAATTATATTAGTTTCCTTCTCTGAGTTTCATTGTTTAAAAGCAGCATAAGTTACAATTTATATTATTACAAGCTGTGTCATTCGAGTTCTTCCAATCGTGCGGACACATTACTCCACTGTTGCAAAAAAAGGCATAATTAATTTACGAAAAACACGAGGAGAAAGAAAGAGAATGGCTTTTCTATATAATGAAAACTTGAATCCGCAGTTGGTTTCTCTTATTGCGATTAAATATTCGATTTCTCAATTTTTTAATAATCATTCCAATCGGATGTTGAGTAGTGAACATGAGCAAAGAGTGAAAAAACGAGAATATATATATATATATATATATATATATATATATATATACTATATATATAATATACACATATATTATATATATATGTTATATATATTATAACATATATATATATATATATATATATATACATATATACATATATATATATATATACAAACACACATTTGATTATATATATATAGTGTGCGAAAGATATTTAAGTTATTGTATTAATTAATTAATTTTTATATTACTAGTCACACGTATCATGGGCACGGGTAGGAAGTGCATATAACGATGATTAGCAACGATGTGAACCGTGAGATTCATGCGACCTTTTCTACCCGTTATAATGATTTTAGAAATTGCGGTAAAAATTGACTGAAAAAGAATCTATACATTATATATTAACATTATATTACTTACTCTTTTGTTGGAATAAGAGTAGAGAATGTATATATGGAAAAAATGTCATTCCACTTTATGCACGTTGCATATGTAATTTTGTCCCATTTATGGCTTTCGTGTCACTCGTCGTGCATTGCATTTTGTTACACATTTACAAGACAAAGAATGAAAGAAAGAAAGCAAGGAAGAAGGATATCATGATACGTTGTCTTTTTGAATATCTTTTTAGGTTTAATGCTGACTATATAATGCGCGTGCAAAGTTCTTATTGTGACCAAATAAAACGGGCTCTTAAGTAAATTAAGACACCGCAACATTTATTGATATCTTATCGACGATCAGAAATTCTGAATGATTTGACGAAAAAGTGAAAATAAACACAAATGAAGCAAAAATATTTCTTCTTCTTTCTATTTTAAGAGCATTTAATTTTAAAAGGAGACAATCTTCCTGCAGGCATCTCTTGATCTTATTCAAACATTTAAGCATTTATTAATTATATATAATACATTAAAAAATGTGTATTTAAATTGAAATATTTTAATTAATTAGATTGCATGTATATGTTTAAAAAGAGGGGGATTTTTAATGATTAATTAAATGAAAATACTCCCATACAGCACAGACTATTATTGTTGCATTGCTGCCATTCAAATATTATTTATTTACATAATTTATAGTGCAATTTAAGAAAAAAATTTTTACTAATAAGCTTATAAATATTTTTTACATTTCCATTTTTTCTGTATTATCCTATTTATCTTTCCGTAGCTGACGTATCGACAGTTTTATGTTACAATATTAATGCATTGCAACTAGATGGAGCTGGATACTTCAACGACCGATGTGTACGTGCATAGATTTATTAATTGTTGAATTAATTAATTTATTAATTACTTTATAATGTATAACTTAACAAGAAGAAGTAGAAGGAAGATTTTTAATAATCGGGATAGAAAGAAAATATTGGACTTCTTAGCCCGTTCAATTCATTATTCGCGCCATTTTTGTGCGACATCTGTTCGTTAAAGCTGCTCCTTTCTGCACCTCATACGTTCGAACGCATATCTATCCATCTCGTTTCAAACGCAAACAAGAGTGCACGAGAGAAGCCGAACGCATCCGCGAACGGAAAGCCCTCGCGCAAGTGCAGCAAGAGGTAGGGAGGGGGGGAGAGGCGGGGAGTGGGGCGATCGGCCGCGACGCCGCCCCACCCCTTCGTCAGTCGGACTCGGGCCGTCGTCGGGTGTGCACGTGTGTGTTGCATGTCGCTGGTCGCGTTTACGTGCGCGAGCGTACACGGGCTTGTCACTGAGAAAAAAAATCGAGGTAAGAATTCTCACTTCGACTCGTCGATCGTTGATGCATCTCGGAACGAGAGTCGCCGAGTGTCGTCAAGTATCCCCGTCACCCACACCAGGTGATCCGCCCGGCGAGGATCCCGTGCTCTCTCGCGGACTCGCCCTTAGGTACGTTATATCGTACCCCGTGTGCTTTGTAAAGTGCCCCGGAGTAACGTAACAGCACGGTCGCCTCGTACGCAACAAAGGCAGCGCCTGCTAGTTCTCGAGATAAGCGAGAAAGAGATGATATATATATAGTATATACATAGTAGAGCGAGAGAGAGAAACAGAGAGAGAGGGAAAGAGAGAAACAGAGGAGCCTGATGGCGCTCACTGTCGTCTTCGCGTGTACTCTCGGGGATCGATACACGGTACATACTGGGGGCGACAGTGTGTGGGTGCGAGAATACACTACTCCAACTCGGCTGTGTGCGTGTGCATGTATGCGAGAGCGAATGAGAGAGAGAGAGAGAGAGAGAGAGAGAGAGAGAGAGAGAAAGAGAGGTTGTCGGATGAAGTGCATGGGAGCTGGATTTCGTCTCCCGGAACCGAGGAAACCTCGCCAGATGTTGCGTAGCGTGGGCCGAGGGTCCCGTAAAAGCCTAAGACGCCTCACATGATCGTCGCCGAGAGAGCGGAAGCCTCGGCGATGACCATGGAACGCGGATAACTCGTTCTCTAGAGGAGGATATCGAGCGGGGTCTTCCTCGGGCCCATCTTGTTGTCTTTGCGACGAGAAATGTCATCGTCATTCTGCGACGATGACGAGGAACACGAGGCGATATGATGGAAGGTGGCGGATGTTAACGATTATACGCGATAGGTCGATGACTTTTTAGCGTGCGATAGCGTGCACCGACCCGGGTTCGACAACACGGGTCGAAAATACGATGAGGGATCTAGGATCGCGATCATTCAAGTGCAAAATCTCACGTGTATCCTCCTTGATACTCTGAAATCTAACTCAAGAGTGTAAGTCTCTCGCGATGAAATTGTTGGAGACACGCGTACATATGTCGCGCGTCCTTTTTCAATGGAAATGATCCTAAGGAACTAGTTTTTAATTTCATATTTTCGATATATGAGTTTTTCAAATTTTTAAAATTTTCTGGTCAACATTTGGCCGAAAAGATATATTTTTTCCACGATATATTTTTTTATATACTTTACTTTATTTAATAATTAAAATACTGTTCACATGTGTGCGTTATTTTTTGAAAAACGATAGGCATAAAACTCCAATTCTCGGAGCGTTAAATTTGACATATAAGGTAAATTTATTTCCCGTTTATTTTTTTTACTAAATAAATGAAATTAATCAAAATAAATATTTAATAATTAAAGTATTATACACACATTTATTCGCGAAATAATTCCAAAATTCCTAATTTATAGAAAGCAGTTTTTTAATTTCGTATTCGATATCAATTTTTAATCAATATTAAAAATCTTTGTCCGAATATTCGTCTGGAGAGATTTTATTGCGTCTTACACATACACGCATTTTATACACTTTGCATATTTAATCATTACATATTTGATCATTAAATACCATTTTTTAATATTTATTCACATTTATTGCATTCGCCAATTTACATAACGTTAATTTTGTAATAATATGATATAATAAATATTACGTGAAATATTTCGATGTTGAACGTGCGTGGAAAGTTTCGTGGAAATTAAAAAATGTCGCCTTATCAATCACTCTTATCGTCATTTTTTTTTCGAAGCGAAACAAGATTTATCATTTCCGTGTCACTTCCGTTCGCTTTGATCGCACTTCGATCTCGTGGAAAGCACGTGCTCGAGACGCAGGAATCTCGCGTAACGAGACTCAACTCAATCTTTTCAAAGTGACAACGTGCTCGAGCGTGCGAAGAAACCACATGCGGACGTCCCGTCTCTCGACGAGAGTCATCGAGACAGGCTCTATAGACGACGCGTTATAGCCGCGTTATAGTCGATCGATCGCGAGCAATTGCATGTGGCGATACCAAACGACTATGAAAGATCGGTCGATGACTTTTTTGCGCGCGCAATTCACGATTCACGACACGCTCTGGTCGGTAACAGACACGCTTACTAGGTTTTAATGCCAAAAGTCAGGCTGCTCCGAGTTGCTCCTTCACTAAGGGCGTTTTCCATTTGGCGACACAAGCATCATTCCATCTTTATTATTCACCAATGTTGGAAAAAGACAGATTCTTTATTATTCATTAATATTCATTGAGAAAAATAACGCTTATCAGATTTTAATGCTGAAAATCAGGCTGCTCCGAATTGCTCCTTCACTAAGGGTGCTTTCCATTTAACGACACAAGCGTCATTCCATCTTTATTATTCACCATTGTTGAAACAAAAAACAGATTCTTTATTATTCATTAATATTCATTGAGAAAAATGACGCTTATCAGATTTTAATGCCGAAAATCAAGCTGCTCCGAGTTGTTTCTTCACTAAGGGCGTTTTCCGTTTGGCGACACAAGCGTCATTCCATCTTTATTATTCACCAATGTTGAAACAAAAAACAAATTCTTTATTATTTATTGATATTCATTATTATTCATCGAGAAAAATTATGCTTATCAGGTTTTAATGCCGAAAATCAGGCTGCTCCGAGTTGTTTCTTCACTAAGGGCGCTTTTCAGTTCGTGACACAAGCGTCATTCCATCTTTATTATTCACCAATGTTGGAAAAAGACAGATTCTTTATTATTCATTGATATTCATCGTTGTTCATTGAGAAAAGACAGAATGACGCTTATGTCGATTTGTATCGCTAAATGGAAACCACCTTAAGGTATCCTATGCCAAAATAACAACGTGTCTTATTTAGAGAAGAGGCAAAAGCGATGTGACGACAAAAAAGCAAAAAGCGTTCTGTTGAATTTATTCATAAATGCATCGTAAATTTGCAAAATAACCTATCTGGCTTGAGAAAAAAATTTCGCAAAATTCCCTTTTTTACATTTACATTCTCGTGACAAAGCAACATGGTCTCTGCTTTACTCGATATTACTAGGGAGCTCCGTTCGCGTTACATGCACGCTCTACATTTTATGCACTTAGAACGAAACAGGCGTAGTGAATAGCTCGAGAGGAAGGAAAAAGAATGAAGCTACAAAAAATGCGGACGACGTGAACAACGTAGTCCTGTAATAATGGATCGGTTCGTTGCTCTAAAGAAAAATATTGAGCCTAGAAACTGTGGATCTTATTAATAAATTTCTTAAGGGGAAACTCTGTGGATATTTTATTAATAGATTTCTAAAGGAATTTATTTATAAATTTCTATCTTTCCTTGCTCACGATTTTTATTATTTATATTATTTATATATTTATTTTATTATTTTTTTATATTTTATATTCTAATATTTTTAATATTATGTACTTCTATAATTTTTCTTTCGATTTTTTATCAGACTTAATTATTAGCATAGCTGATAACAATTAATTTTCAGTTTTTAAATCTTTTAGTTTTGAAATTACAATTTTGACTTGCAAAGTAAAGTGTATGTAAATACATACATCGAACGAAGTTAATATAATTACAGACTACATAATTACATAATAATACGTCGTTAAAATTATATTAAATAGCGGAAGAGAGAATCGGTCGAATTTTAAAATAACACGGCACCGGAATTATTCTGCCATTCTTCACGCTGCAAATAACCGAAATAAATCCATTCCGTCTTTACAAATGAACAATACTTGGCTGCTAAAAAAATAAATAAATAAAGGAGATGAAAATAAAAGATCCAGGCAGGTGACAGATGGACGATCGCGTAATAATCTTCATTTAAAACCACGACGCGATTGGCGATGGCTTTATTCCTACCTGCGTTGACGCATGCATGTGGAATGGCATAAAAATATATGAATAAAAATACGGACGCACATACACGATATGTACACCGGGTAGTCCCTCCGCGAATGGCGTTCGCGAATGGCTTCTTGCGGCGTTTCCAGCGATAAAATTGCCGCTTTTTTATCGGACGAAAATGAATAACCGCTCGCGCTTCGGCGGTGACGTAAAATGCAAAGTACGAAAGATTTCTCTGCGCGAATCAGATATTATTATACGTTAAGCCCGATAAAATCACTATCGAGTGACGGAATCGCTCGCGGTTCTTTCGTAATATTTAATAGTGACAGCTCGATTACGATTATTTGAATTTGTCGCGAATTGCGATTTATTTCGATTATTATTATTATTATTATTATTATTGCGTCTTTAATTTAATTTAATTTTTTTCTATCAATCCCTTGCAAGAGGCTTTCTTTTTTCTTATCGAATCGTGATATTTTGATTGAAGGAATCAAGAAACTTTCTTGGTTCGAGTATTTTCAAACCGTTGATGATATAATGTTGATATGAAGGAGCACGTATATTATTATGGATTTCCTCATTTGAATGTATTATCGAGTCCATTGGGGGAAGAAGCGTGTTGTGAGTTTACGATGTACGGATAGAATGGAATCAGGAAAGTAGGTTAATAAACCGTATGTGTACATTGCACTTTATCGATCCGCGGTATATTTATTACGGAGATAGTTATTTGTTGCTTGTCTGCAAGAGTTCGATATAGAACGTGTAGACGACGTATAAAATATATGAAATATATGTTATACGCTAATCGGTCGGGAGACACCCCCCGATTCAAACATCATGTTTAACACTGTAACATATTCGAACAGGTTCTCGTACACACACGATGAATTAAGTCTCTCGTAGTTCTACGAGAATTTTATTCTGATCGAGATTCCATCCTTCTACGTAGGCGTTTTATTTATTCAATCGACGAAAATAAACGCGCACCCACGCATTCGCGCTATTAGTTTATCAACGTATTCTTATAATTATGACGAGATATTTAAAGCGCATTTTGATTTCTCTGAGTTTGCTTAAACTTGGCGATTTTTATTCCAAGTTACATTTTCTAGTTTTTTAATTATCAAGATTGCAAAAAAATGATAATGCAATTTTTTTTATATATATTTAATAAATGCTTTTAAATTCTTAGCTTTTCATATCATAATTTGCATTAATTTCAAGTTTTTATTTTTTTAAGTTCAATGTAGGCGTACATAATAATAGACATACGTAAAAAGAGAAATTTAAAATAAAAATAAAAATTACATTTCCACATGTACATACATTTTTTTTCAGAATCTGTTATTATTGTTAAAATTATTTTAATTGAGACTATTAATTTAAAAAATAATTGTTGTTTTGTATTCTTCAGTTTTTTATATCACAATTTAGTGTACGTTTCATTATTATATTAATTTTAAGTTTTTATTTTCTTAAGTTTAATGTAAGCTTACACAATAATAGAAAAAGAGAGAGAGAGAGAGATTTAAGATTAAAATTGATTTCCATATGTACATAAATTTTTTTTTCAGAGTCTGTTATTATTGTTAAAATTGTTTTAATTGACAGACTATTAATTCAGAAAATAATTGTTGTTTTGTATTCTTCAATTTTTTATATCACAATTTGTTGTACGTTTCTCATCATTAACTTCAAGTTTTTATTTTCTTAAATTGAATAAGCATACATACCAAGTAGACGTACATGAAAGAGTTTTTTCACAAAAACATTTAAGTTTTGCAAAAGTTTTTAAGCGATAATAGCCCATTAAATCCGCTTCAGTCGATTTGAGGACTAAAAAGCATCTTGGAAAATCTTTAGCGATGTCAATAGAGCGAGAGGGACGAGGGACAGGGGGAGTCCAGGCTCTGGCGCAGACTTCATTAATTAAGCGCGCGTTGATTCCACTACGGAAGAGTTGAATCACTACGCTAAAACGTTTTGCGACACTGAGTGACGTCCACGTATTTAGCCGAGATTGAATCGTATGACTCACAACGAAAGAGCGGGAGCACACACAATATGCTAATACGAAATAATCAAATTAAAACTCTCGATGAGGCTCTTTAGCAAAAGATTTGACGTTTTAATTGCGAGTAACTTTCTTCGATAAACTGTAGAAATATTGCGCGAGAAGTTAATGGGATCAACGTAGATCAAATGGTAGGAATTTAATCGCTAATAAATTAGTTCTATCTTTTTCTAACCCACAAATTAATTTTCTATTAATTTATTTACAAGATCATTCTCTGGAAATCGATTAAAAAATTGATATTTGAATTACTTTGTTGTATAATATTTTAATTCAAATGAAGAATGATGGGTAGTGTATTAATACAATATGTTGCAATATTTGGAAGCAATTATTTTGAATTTTATGAGACATTTTAAATTTTTATTGGACTGTTAGAACACCTGACATATCTGTCAAAAGATAATAAAGTAGGACATTCTTGTACGTCTCTCCGAAGAAATAGTTTATTTTTTGCAAGTTTATGAAAATGTGTAATTAAATATTAATAAATAATATTTGAATAATATATTTATTAATTAAATTATCTTCAGTGTTTTTTCTAAAAAGCAGAGAAGCTAAAAAGCAGAAAGAGAGAGAGAGAGAGAGAGAGAGAGAGAGAGTGTGTGTGTGTGTGTGTGTGTGTGTGTGTGTGTGTGTGTGTGTGTGTGTGTGTGTGTGTGTGTGTGTGTGTGTGTGTGATTTGATATTTTATCGCTTTTAATAAAAGATAAAACAAAGGAAAATAAATATATAATATATTAATAGTTCGCTTTTTTCCTACAGAATTTTTAGATTTCGAATGAAAAGTATATAAAAAGTAATAAATCATGTAACATATATATTAATGAATTATGTAATACAATTTATAGAGTACATATTATACAATTACATAAACGTTAATTATAAATGGTAATTTAAATTTAAATTAGCACGAAATCCAGATTCTATTTGCACAGTATCTCGTTGCACATTAATATTGATTTTTCCGAATATTATATTCTCAGAAATATACTGATCTCTGATTTTTCAATTACAGCGCTCGAGCGTAGCATGTCTTGACGAGTAGGAGGCACGTTCTCGACAAGGGTTTTTGGCAGATAAGGATCCGGCAAAATGGCGGGCGGTCAGCAGCTTCCGGAGCAGTACACGGTACCACAATACGCGAAGATCTTTCACAGTCTGCCGCACCTCAACGTCTCTCTACACTCGGTCAATAACACATTCAACCCGCATTCCGAAATATATTTGGAGGTAGGCATTCCCCGGATGCAGATGTATGAAGATTGTCGACTTGACTTTTTTTTGGGGCACGATTTTACTATTAGATCCCTTCAGCGTCTGCTGATGGACGAACCGACCTCCGTTGATTGGAAACAAAGTGCGTCCCCGATTAATCGACCCGAGCTTTTAAGTCTCTTGCCTGGATCGATGAACGAATTACTCGACGAGAGGATTCGGATTTCGCGTGCGAACCCCAAGAGAGTCTTAAGATAAATATTTTATTCAAATCAATGTGTGTGTGTGCGCTGGTTGAAATGTTCTCTTGGGGAGTATCAACTTTTCAATCTCGCTGGAGGATATACTTCAAATACATGTAATTTATATAAATATTTGAAACAACATCTTTCCCGCTGATATAATTCAAGAGGGTGTTCTTTCTGGTGTCGGTCCTCTCATCCCTCGATTCTTTCAATATTTTGTAATTTGTTTCATATTCGAGTTTACATTTTGCACAAGCGGTCGTGCATTAATTGAGAATCCCGTTTGAGTATGATACTCTCTATTTCCTGATGCTAACACCTTGGATGTTGGAAAATCACAATTTCCCGCGAGGTATCCCCTTAGGGGCAAAGGCCATTATGGATTATTATTATAGTCAGCTTGTAGATTTGCGATGCATGGACATGGACATAGAAGTTCAAAGAGGAAACATCCAGGAACGAGAAAGGGGAAAAAGAAGGAGGAAAGAAACGATTCATGTGTCCGGGAGAAGCCAATCGGTGACGGGACGTGGCGAGGATGTAACACGGCGAGGATGCAAAAAGAAAGGCAGAAAAAAAGGAGGAAAAACGGAGAACGAGAAGCTGGCAGAAGGGAAGGAAAAAAAAGGCCGAAAAAACACACGACAGGCAGGTGGATGCCACGAGCGTGAGCGCGCAAGAATCCAGGCCGCGTGTAACAGTAGGAAAGCACAATGGCTGGGAAAGCTCAAACAATGCACAAAGGCTTTCGCATAATGCGCCTCGGGGGCAACTCGCGAACGGGGGGGCAACATGCTCGGGTGTATCCCGTCATATTACCCTCGGTCTTTTCTTCATCTCCCCCCCCCCTCTCTCTCTCCTGCCCTTCCCTTTCTTCAGTCACGTTTTCCCCGTCGAAGTCGACGAATTCATGGAACGGAACACCCGAGTCGACTTTGAAACTTGCTCTCGGCGCACGTTTCCGTCGCGCTTGCTCAGCAGGATGGATCGGCGGAGTTAAAAGTCGCCGGGAAACGAGATAAACATCTTGGGAAAAGAAGAGAAGCGGATGAAAGTTACGAGGTGGTCCTGAGCGCAGTTTCGCGCACAAAGCAAATGCGTAAAATGCGTCCGGAATGGTGTCACAATGCAGTCCTCGACGATGCACGACGATGTGATAACGCTATTGGCACGAGCATCTTTGAGAGTAGCGGAAATGAACAAATCTTGGCGTTCGTCCAATTTTTTGGACGTTGTTTATTTAGATAGCGCGCGTAACCGAAATTTCTCGAGGCCAAGAATGTAAGAGAGAAAGATAGATAGAGAAAGAAGAGAGAGAGGAGAGCTTCTCTCCTAATTAAATTTAATTTTAAATTAAATTTTAATTTAATTTTTATTATTAATTTTGAAAAAATTTTTACTTCATAATCTAAAGACTCATGATTCATTTTTGTGCGTTAACTTTTATAAAATTTTATAAAATGGCTTTTATATAAAATTATATTTTATATATTAAAAAGTCTCAGATTTAAAAGTTTTTTTTTTTGTAAAAAAAAGATATGTACATGAGAAAAAGGGAAAAAGACTGGATGCAATTTTTTCAGAGCCTCGGGATATTGGGAAGTATTCCTGCAGCCTGGTTAATCTTAACGTTGCTGGTATTGTTGGTTTATTTGGTAACGAGATGCTGCGACCGGAGGCCGCGCCCCAAGAAGTCGATAACCGCATTGAAGTGTTCCTTGGCCATCCTAGCGTTGCTCTGTAGTGGAGCAGTTGCTGTTGGTCTTTATGGCAACGACGACGTGCACAACGGTTTAGTGCAACTGGTAGCCGCGGCGAAGAACGTCGATGGAATCCTCATGGGCGTCAGAAATCAGGTCTGATTCTTGCGCAGTATTTTGCGGTTGTATTTTGTTTATCATAGTAATAAAACATTCTGATAAGTGTTGAACAGTGAATCGCTTTAATACTTTGAATTCTTATGTGAAAAAATAACTTTATGTGGCATATATTTGTAAAATTCCTATTTTTGAAGGATATTTCATTGAAAAATATTCTCAATATTTAATAGAAGATATATAAATTAAGAATCTTAGCTCAATTATAATTTAAATAATCAACTATAAGAGTCGTATTTTTACTTGCATGTCATAATTATACATTTTTCAGACTGACACTATAGAAGCGACTCTGAAGAAAAAAGTGCAACCGCAATTGACCGCCCTAGGTGACGAATTCGACGCTCCGGTCAGCAATAAAACTATGTTAGGCTGGCTATTGGTGGCACTTAACGGTATGAAGCAAAACACGAGCATCGCTGTAAATCGGAGTTTCGAGATACGAAAGCCCTTAAGCGGTATCAGTCTCGCTGGCGCCATCGGAATGGGAGAGAAGATCGAGCAATTAAGATGGCCTATCACTATGGCAGTCTTGAGCGCTCTACTTGTTCTTTGTGTGGTTCTGGTGGTCGGTGTTGCACGGCACTCTAGATGCGTCCTCATAACGTACGTTTCTTTAAAAATGGAAATCAACCTATCTAGTATCTCAATTTTATCTAAAATTATCTTGTACACATTCCTGAGCAAAATATTAAAAATTGATATTATTAATTAATTATTATTTGAGAGAGATTACATCTTCTGTACACGTTACAGATGTGAAGTCAAAACGAAGTCATTCTGATAGAATTTCTTTTCAGATTCTCCGTATTCGGCTTATTTGCGGTAATCGTCTCTTGGCTCATGGCTTCCTTATATCTGGCCACTTCTGTAGCACTAGGTGATCTTTGTGTATCGCCCGACGGTTATCTAAGCAAAGCCGTACCGTCGACCTTAGCCTCCGAGGTACTCTCGTACTACACACATTGTGAGAACACGCGCAGTAATCCATTTACGCAGAGATTGCGGGACGCGCAACGTGCGGTGGGAAACATGAGGCACAATTTGAATAGCGTGACTAAATTAGCGATAGAACTGTTTAAGGATCAGCAACTCCAGCCGAAACTCAGCAGCTTGTCCACCGATGTTAATACTGTAGACAGACTTGTATCGGGCCTGGCCACATTACTCGACTGCAAAGCTCTACACAAGCAATACGTTCATGCCGCTAAGAGTCTATGTCACTTGGGATTGTAAGTTGATATCCTAATAAATTTTATACGCTGAATATGGATATGTAAAACTTTCTCCTACAGTAATAACTCTCTCCGCAATATGTTTTAGGTACGGATTAAGCTTTATGCTAATAGCCAGTTTAGCCGCAGGTCTCTTGTTCACTGTACTAGTTTGGGTGGACTCGCATACATGGATATATATACGAAAACGGTAAGCGTATTGATGTTTATGAAAATTAAATATCTGCAGATCTCAAGATATTTTTATATAAAAATTGCGGCCAAGTTTTTTTTATCTTTCACGCTTCAGCAGGTACCATGGGATCGTTCATATTCTATTTTAAGAGAACTCTTGTGGTATCGGCTGGATCGACTTAGACAAGGCGTAATCAATGATGCGTTTGTTCCAGAAGGGATTACCATCAAGTCGATGAACAAGATCCTTACTTACCACCGTCGGCAGCCTCGCAAGCGATAGCAGCGCGGACCCTTCGAGGCCAAGGGTCGTACCCGCCTACAGCCCCTACGCTTAATTCGAATGCTCTTGGCACTCATAATACGATTAAGCAGCCTCTCTTGCTAACGCCGCCCCCACCGTCCTACGCTACTGCGACTGCTCGAGCACGTCAACTGCACGAGAGCATGTTAAAGTTTGTGCATGAGATTTTCAGTTTATTCTCCCTAATTTATTTAGCTAATTGAATTCAAAAATCGATGAACATCGCGCTAAAATATTATATTAGATTCAGTGCGTCTCCTTTGAATGTTGCTTTAATCATATATAATTTTACCATCATCAAAAAAAAAATCATATCGAATTTACATCGAATTTATATTTTTATATTAGTGCTTTTAACGAATATACGTGGGATAAAGTGTGATAATTGCATATGAATAATTGTCTTGATTTTATATTTGATGTTTTTTAATTATTTAAATATTTCAGTGTTTTTGCGCGAGACATAGCATATTTAGGAACAAATTTAATATTTTTCTTAGCAAACACTTTTGATTGCTTTTATAATATCATTACAAAACTAGAATAGCGCGCTTTGTAATCCTAATCTTTTATCAACGTGAATATAATGTATAGACGGTTTTGCAGGCGTGATTGAATTTGGATTTATGTTTAGATAAGCTAACATCGGTCATTATGTAAAACAAAGATAATGCTGCAACTTGGTTTGTTCTTCCTCACCATTTACAGAGGTGGGGGTGTTAACGGGAGCGGAGCAGGCGGGGATCATAAATCATCTCAGCATAATCAGCAATCAACGGGTGGACGAGCTGAACACCGTTCTGGACTCGGAGATCAACCTGGCCAGTACGCGACTCTGAGCAAACAGTGCAAAACGCTAGAATCCAGTGACTTTTACTGAGGGCACGCCCCCGCAGGGCCCGGTAAATATAAAAAAAGGCTTAATACGTATGCATCCTTGGTGGATTTAAACGAAATATGACGATGAGAGTCTATATTTTTTCTAACTCTTTGCGATTAAAATTGAAATGACACATCAAATTTCATGTTACACAGGTAGAGAACCACCTTGGACGCCCAGCGTGGCGTCCTTCACCGGTACCCTGTCTCACAATTCGCACGGACCCGCGCACCTTGCCACTTTCCAGGACTCTCGCAAGACGCAAACGCTGGATCCGAAGAACCTGGCCAATCTAAAGAGGGGTCCGACTCCGGCCTGGAATCAAAATCGACCGCTCCCGCCGAATCCCGCGAGTCAACAGCAGCCCACGTGGGAGTTCGAGTCGCGCTCGCAGACTAACATGAATCAGTTTCGATCGTTGGTGCGGAACAAGGCGCCTAACATTCGCATTCAGGATCAGATGCAGGATCAGGTCAGGACTTTGGACAGAAATTTCTCGCGCAGTCAGTTCAACGGTACCGCCGCGCAAAATAACACGGTGCCGAATATGTACGGTACGTATAATCGAGCGCAGGGGAGGCAGGAAAAGCCGACTGTGGCCACGCTGAGTCAGGTACAGGGTAGCGATCCTAATCTGTATGCCGTAACGGAACTCTAATCATGGTAAAGAAAGAAGAGACGATCGTATTCAATGTATGTGAATCATATTTTCAAAACATTGTCATTTTACCTGGGGAAAAATCTTGTCCTTCGATGAAGGACAAGTTCAAGTCGTACGATTCGGAGTTCCTATTTAAGAGAAAAAAATGGCAAATCGATTTCGGGGATCTGCGATAAAAGTGAGGGAAAAAGATGTGAGGAGGAGGAGACGAGAAAAATCTTAGAGAACCTAGAAACTTGTGTGAGACATACTTTATATCCGAGATTTTGTACTTGTATATCATGTACAGTGATTGTGGTACGTCCTTCTGTGTTAGCCTCTCTCTTTGTTATCGCGTTCTTGATCAGATCGCGCGCGAAGTATCCAGAGAGGAATAGGTACTTAAAGCGGCGACGTATGTATTTATTGCTTGGTTGGTTGATCGACAAGGTACATCTCAACGAATAAGCACAAAGATCTTCATATAAAGATATTTACATTGACATCATTTACAGAGAGACTATTCGCTTGTTCATTCTAAATTAGCTGTTAATTTCGCGTACAATGTTTAACTTGAGGAAAGTTAAATATCGTTGAATGTCCTGAAGAAGAAATACCAAAATATACAATGAGGGAGAGAGATATACCGAGGTTTTTATATATATACTTTTTACATTTTATCACCGAGGGAATCTACGTTGAATTTTTCTCTGAGAGATATGCAATACACTTTATATATATATGTGTGAACGCGTTATATATACATACATCTCTAGTTACCGTACGAATGTCTCGTGATTTTTACGAGACACTTTGGCAGAAGTCGATTGATGTACGATGTACTGCCAATGCTTAGGCGAATATATTTTTTAAGTACAAACATGATGGTAGCACAGATGTTATGCGTTTTCAATTTTCACATGCGGAAGAGGAGCTAAAACACGCGCGTGAGTGTCCGATTTATTATAAAAATTACTGGAAATCTACTTCCACAAGTCGTACTAGTTAAACTTACTGTATTACTTTTTTTTTAAGGCGGTGGAAGAAATGGATCTAAAATCGAATCTTACTTTGTAAGGATAGAAAATGAATTTTCTGCGGACTGCAGTCTTCCTGAGAGACATTCTGTAACACCAGAGATATACCGGGTATATAATCTAGCGATTATTTGATGTTTGTCAAATAGCGTCGAATATCAAATAATTATTTTAACACCAATGTTAAAATAATAAAGATGATGAGAAGTAGAATTTACGTGAAAAGGCTCATCTTTTAAAAAATTTTAACGTAACTTTCAGTAATTATTTCCCGCTTGCTAGATATCTTTATAATCGCCACGTTTTAATCGTAAATAATTAGATCCGAGTATCAAGGAATAATTTTGTGCCTGAATAACCGGATGAGTGTTGTTTACGATTATCAGAGCATCCGCTTGGCAATTCGTCAATTCTTGCCTGAACGGATGCCTGAGGTTGTAGTGTATTCGGTACATCTCTAATTGACTACTATTTAGAAATTTCTAAGAGTCGATAGATTTTCAAACGATAACAAGTGACTTTATACCAGCATCCGCATATAATTCAGTAAATCTGTATATAAACAGTAACAGTTAAGATTATCGAGTAAACGTAAAACGTGTGATAAATCGAATCTAGATGTTATACGAATTCGTGGAAGCATTTTGCCGCTTTGGTTGACAGTTTGACTACGATTTCGGGATGCGGGGAAGAAAATCGTGCCATTCCAGTGTATAATGTATGCATTTATCGCAAACCCACTTTCCAGAATTTTCTTAGGAACTTGTGTTTAGTCGAATAACTATTATAATTAATCGTAATCGCAATACACACCAAGAATTACAAGGAGCGAGAATAGCAAGGGGACTTTCTGATCCAATGTAAATAATTGTAATATTTATTACAGAGCGCGATAGCTCATATAGATATACTAGTAGTATAGTTTAGTTAAATGCGCTAATTTAAGTTTCGACGAGATAAATATTAAATGTGTACACGCGGTATACCGGCCGCGTAGATGAACAAGTGTGTATTTTGTTCATTTTATAGAAAGAGAGACGGAAAAGTACCCTAGTCAGTATATAAAGTTGAGTACATTCGATAACAGGTGAAAAATCTCTTGCCAAATTTTTAACTCAATGGGCTCAATTTAAACAAGAAAAAAAAACAAAGATAAAAAGACTTGAAGAAAAAATTTAAAGAGGATTGCTCTTTTTTCTCAGATATTTGTATCGTCACTATTAATACATATGAAAGCTATATTAGTGCGTGATTGCCCCGATACATGTTCTAGATTAAGAAAAAAAAATTACTTGTCGAGAGAAAATATAGCCTGATCCAGCTTCAGTGTTTTAACGAAGTATGAGCATCTTTTATTTATAGCTTCGTAGCTTTTTTTTAGTTATATCATTACGTTTACTTGTTTTATTTTGCATCGAAGTAGTTTTTTTTCTTCCATTTTGTTTTTCCATTAAAAATTATCAAATCACACGCAGAATTTTATTTCTTATTCAATATTTAATTTTTTTTTCACTTGTTTAATATATTGTTTTTTTTCTTTTTCAACTTATAAAACGCTGAAGATGGATATCTTTACATAATCGAAGAGAAATTGTAGTTTGAGATTTTACAATAAAGCGCGCAAACGGGATCAATGTATTATTCAGATGAAGGAATGTCGAGCGATCGGTTGACGAAAAGTCAATCGGTCGAAAATTAATTCATGCTTGGATAGTTTTCTGCAAAGGAATATTCGATTCGCGCTCAATTATATTTCCGGGCGAAAATAACGAAGAGAAGACTAGTTTACCCCGCGTTTGACGTATATTCCAAAATAATCTAGAACAGGAAACAGTTGTTAAACATCTCTTACCATGCGAACTTGTAATCTAGACAATTGTTATAATGAAAAATTTTCTCTTTTATTATAATTCTTCAATTTTTCTGTAGTTGAAACGAGAGTCTGAAGCACACAGTTATGAATCAGAGTTTCTAACGAATGAGAGATAATTTAAGTTTCTCATGATTTTTATACGATAAATACATGTAATTGTGTATGTGTGGCATAAAAGATGAGAGCGTCTGCGAAACAAATACAAACAAAATAGAGAGGAAGGCAGGATGATTGAAAGAGAGAGAATATATATGTGTCTATTATACATACATACATACATATATATATATATATATATATATATATATATATATATATATATGTATGCATGAGAGAGAATGGAAATTATTATTTTCAAAGATGATGGAAATGATGCGACGTATGATACATTAAATAACTCATTTTTGGAAATCGATTTTCTTGGCCTACGGCAATTTTTCACGAATTTTTCGCGAATTAAGAAGAGTAGTTAATAAACGAAAATCAAAAAAGAGAGAAGAATCGGATTGGATACGCGTGACAGATGAGGAAAATGGGAGACCTAAGCTTTTCTGCACCCTTTTAAGACTGATACTGGATATATACAAGAAGGACATCCAGGGCTCTAATATTTTTTCTCCCTATATTCGTAGATAAACACGTAATCTTTGATACGTGTTGGGATGGGACGTTTATTTCTGTCACGTAATAGTATCCATCTTCCTTTCGATATTTTTTCTTCAATTTAAGTTGCACTTCTGACGCAACTTTCTTTTGCTATATCTATTATAGCAGAAATGTAGATAATATATATTATTTTTTTCTGCGCATTTATCTCTCACTGCGTGAAAGAGATTGGTTTATAAAGTACGTAGAGGCTAACTCGATTACTCTCCAACTTACATAAGTTATGATATTCTACTGCGTCTTTGTTTGTATGTGTGCGGTTACGCGAATTTTGATGTAATATAAAAGAGACTTATCTCAAAGAGGGATATAAATATATACATAGGAGGCAACAGAGACAGAGAACGAAGCTCGTTAATCGATACCACTTTTGTATATTACGATTGTGTCTATAATTGCCATATTCTGGATTTAATTCCTCATATTGTAACGGAACATGAATATTATAAAAAGAGAAATAAAAACCTAAGATCCATAATTATTTATCGCGATTACATCGCCGTAGGAATTTATATAACCGTAGAAATTCATTATTCATAAATATGTATGTGTCTGTTATGTGTGTGTGTGTGTGTGTGTGTGAAGCGCAAGACAAGACTTTTTAATCCCTATTCTCTATATTACAATATTTCGTAGTCATTAGCAATACTTTATTACAACAATTTTGGTACATAAATATACATACTGCTTGATTTCTTTTCATCTCTTCAATATTTTTCAACAATTTACGAATTACTCCTAATTACGCGATACATTTTACCTGTTGATCTTAATCATTGCAATATTTTACCTTGATTTTTCATCATTGATTAATATGGGAGCAATAATACAGATCATTCTTTTTCTATTTTATTTAGATGGGAATATAAGTTCTTTCTTTGGCGAGTCATTGCTTACATCTTTTGAATGCCTTCAGAACACTTGTTCTTATAATATTTTCGTACACGATACATAGCTATATTCTTCGTTATCTTTCATAAAAGATATAAATGTACATGGAGAAAGAGAAAGAAATATTCCTTATTACACTTTAATTACAATATTGTGCTTGTGGAAATTGGAAACTTAACGAATGCGAAGAATATCATTTTATAGATTAGTAATTTAAAGGGAATAAAAATGATCGAGAAGGAGAAAATATTTTTAAATGACTTTGATGACAAAAAAAAGCTGTACGTAAGCATCTTTCGAGATAGTGTAATTAAGAATATCTGATACATATATAATACATATAAAACTTTACTATATGCAACAATAAATAAGTTTTATTGTGATATATTCTAAAAAAAGATATCTGCCAAATATATCAAATGCAAATTAATATTAATAAGATAGAAGAAGCAGAAGACAACTGTGTGTGATTAGAAGAGAAAATGATCTGTTCCAATTATTGTTTCATAAAGCTAGTGCCAGACTAATGCATTTATTCGCAATTCGCGTTGTGTAGAGAGAAAATTTATTCACATTCTTCATGGAACCTGTCCTTCATGCATGCAATATGCGTCAAGATTCGTGCTTGTTTCTGCATCTTCGTGGCTGGATCGCTGGTGATCGGAATAAAAAAGATATGTCACGAGAAAAATAAAGGCGAAATCGATCGCCGAAGCATATCAAAATCGAATCGCGTACAAGTTTGCCGCGTCAACAGGTATTGCAGTGTAAAATTGTTATGCGTGAACTTACCATAAAAGTAACACTGCTACGTGTATCAGTCTAATAAGTACATGGACCATCCCATGATTAAGTCGCGATCGTTTAGTAGCGAAAATCTATTCGTTTAATAGAGCGAAGTATGTGAAAGAGACTCTGCGGAGGCATTAGGTGAGAAGGTGAGAAACAGCTCTGGTGAAAAGTATCAGAGGCCAAAAAAAATTAAACTGTCGCGCGCGCTTTGTTTTACCCAACAAATAAGTTATACAGATTACAGTTTAATACTTTGCAGATATAAAGAGTACCTGGAGGTGGGAAATATCTTAGCGTTCCAATGTAATATCGCTTTCATGTCAAGTTCAACAACTTGGAAACAAGAATGTGTTCTCGACGTATCATCGTAACGGTAGAAATATTCACTACGACTTCAATGTTTGCCCCGACTCTTCCTTCACTTGAGGTTGGAAACTGGCACTGATTATCAGAGGCATACTCTTACCGCTCTGTAAGCTAGAATGACTGGATGATCGACTATGGCTTTGACTATTAGCACCGACTGGTGTTTGCACTAGTGGCTGAGGCGGTGTTCTGGCACCAGAACCGTTGCTGTTCGCGAAATTAGGTTGCAGTTGCATGTGATACTTATAAATATTTTCCGTACTCTCCACAATACCTGTTTCAACAGATATAAAAGTATATTATTTATATTATGATTATATATTTTGTGAATGGAAACACATGTCATTGTATAAAATTTAATAATTACCAGCTTGCAAGTTTAAACTACGACCGCGGACGCCCGTCTCCTTGGAAATAGGACTCCACCAATTGACAAAGGTCCCTACTACAGGGACGTGCCTAAGAATACCTTCCTGCCATAATTTTTCCGCATTTTCCCTCTCGAGATCGGTTTGCGCCGTCTCGATACCTCTCTTAACTACTTCAGAAATGGTATCCATCATTTTAGAACTAGCTTCAACTTCCTGGCCAACTTGCAAGACTAGGGATAACAGTTCAGCAACGTCTGAAAGTAGTATCATAGCATTTTCAATGAAAAATAACGTATGTGGAGTCACATCAATGTTCAAAAAAGTATCTCGTCCTTACCCGTATCTTGTGTTACCATGCCAAATCGTACACAGGCCAAACCATCTGCGCCTTCTCCAAGGGAAAACGCGGCGTCCGTGCTGCGCAGAGTTTCGACCAATTGCGTATTTAGCTTGTTCAATTCTTCCCTTGCTTGATCGGTCATAACGTGAATCCAGGTAGGTGGAGCGTAACGCACACCTCCCAAACCCGCCCAACCCGGCATTTCCACTAAATGTAAAGAATCATTCTCTGAGACTAAACGTACGAAGGTGTCTTTGTGTTCCACTGTCGCTAGTAATATTTCCTATTCAATGAAATTGCGATGGCGTTACTGATGAATTTACAATTAACGTTGATGATTAATTCAAGACATTTGGCACTGTGTTCCTACCGCATCTTCAACGTTAAATGCTTTGCCAGTTTAAATTACTCGTTTAAGAGAAGATTATAAAAAGAAAATGTCATACATTTATCGTTTTACGTTCGGTAGGAATACAGGCAAAATCCAAAATGTTCTTACTATTTGCTGTTCAAGACAGGTCACTAGATTATCTATGTCTTCGGTCGTAGGTGGCTGATCGGGATTCTCCAACGGACAGATGCGAATCGCGACACCGCACTGTTCTATATCACAAAGTTCTATTTGTACATTGTCAATGTCCCTCTGAAGAATCTGTCCCAACCAGGAGTTTAATTTATCGTAATAGGGTAGCACGCGCTCCGTGGCTTGAAGATCTTTGTGCGCAGGTACAAATTGGAAAACTAACGCGCTCGCTACAACTTCGAATAACTGTAAATTGTTTACAGGATTGTTTGCGAGATACTCGCTTAAAGTGTAAGACTCTGTTTCACCACCTGGCGGTTGACTCTGAAAGAGAAATTTTGGTTTCACTGTATATTTTCTTTTTTCTCGGCAAAGAGTATTTCATTCTTCCGGAGAAACTTACCAATATTCTAATGCAAGAGAACTCTTTAATTTTATTGTACAACTCTTCCACTGCCAAGAAACATCTTTTAAATCTGTTGTATACTCCGTCTCGACCTAGAGCTTGCAAAACGGCCCACAAAGGTAAAGTTGGTAATCTTCTAGACAATGAATCTGCCATTAATCCTGAGACTAGCGATAGGGTAGTGTCTCTCGGAGTAGGTCTTCCTCCTTTAATATCTGCTAATCTATATAATGTCTATATAAACGAATATTAAGGAAAATGGAAACAATAATTGATTGACATAATGTATATAAAAGAACTTCATAATAGGAGATGAATAAGTCATAAAGACTATACAGAATATATAGACAACAAAAAACCAACTCTTTATACCAAAATATTGAACATTTTAATTCAGTTTCAAATACTACTGTCATTTTAACATTTATATTCTTGAAGATATCAAAACACATCATAAAAGGATACAACTACTGGTAGCGAAGGTATACCTAGCCATGTGCCAAGTGGTAATGTAATGCTGTCTGCAATCTTTGATGGCTACAACATAAAAAAATAAAAGAAGATTTAAAAAAGATATTTAACGATGAAAAGAGGCGAGCAAAACTTTGTGAATAACACCATGCGACCATTTACCAAATCTTTCGTCGAGTTGTTCAACGCGAGCGCAGCCAGTGAATGTCCTCTGAGATGCAACCAAACGTTATATTTGTCACATATCGCTCGTAATCGCGTAATATTGTCGCAATGACCCGTTAGTACGGAACCAGCCTCGGCTAGTACCAATAACGGCGTCACATTGTTGGATTGAGTATCTTCTGCTAAGCGCCTCTCCAACGCCGAGATGTCCATTGTATGCCTCGAGCCAAACATGGTGTTGTGTGGGATTGGTCTTATACAATGAAGTGGCAAAGAGAGCTATGGAAACATAGCAAATCTTTAATGTGTATTAGCCAGTTTCAGCGATCTTCAAACTCTTCTGTAACATATATCCCACAATAATCACTGAAAAAAGGATCGAGGAATATCACCTGTCTGCACAAGTGCTGGACGACACCTAAGGGTGCAGCAACGGAGCTGTAAATTAAAGGAGTCTGAGATACGAGTGCGGTGAAGCCCTCCTCCATGTATCGAGGATATTTTCGATGTAGGGCGAGCCGCGTCACCCTGACCAGTCCCTCCAGGTGATCCTCGTGGAAGGAGGACGCGCAATCGACGAAGCGGAAGATGTGACTGAGCCATCTCGTCGTGTCGGCTGCGAGACGACCGGCGAGCTTTTGCGCGTGTGACTTTGGTAGCGCTATCGCGTAAGCTGAAACGGTGTGCGTGACTAAGGCCAATCTCACCGTCTCGGTTAGACTCGGCAGAGCCGTGATTTGACTGACTGGCGTGTCTATGGAATCTGCCTCGGCTGATTGCGGCGCGTCCTCGTGAACCACCAAATCCTGCAGAACAAAAATTTTCTGATGAAACCACTAGAGTCTTTATTTCTTTACAATGTCAAATTTTAATTAACATCAGTCATATGTTTCGACTTTGTATATTATAATAAGTGTAATATTACATATTTATAACACATGTTTTCAATTATATTTTGTTATTTTTTTATTATATAATATATATATATATAATTATATATTTAATATATATATATATATATAATTATATATTTTTATTATATTTTTATTTTATTATTTTTCTTATTTTCTTTTATTATTATTTTATTATTATTTTCTTACTATATTTTTCTTATATGTTTATTTACATATTTATTTCTTATTGTATGTTTATTATTGTATGTTTATATCTGTAATAAATATACAAATAATAAGAAAATACCATAATAAAAAATGTAATAAGAAGATAATAAGAAAAATAAAATAAAAAATACAATAAGAAAAATGTAATAAACATACAATAAGAAATAAACATACCCAGCAAATAACAATTATATAACTGTTCATTATAATTTTCCACTCAACATTATAACTGTTATATGTTACATTATAACTGTTAAATGTTACATGTTATATAACTGTTATGTAACATTGTTGAATGGGATGGGCTTTTAATTACAACTAACAATTATATAAATGTTACTTAATGTTTGCTGAGTAATAAAATGTCATATATAATAAACACAAGTATAATAAAAAATATATATTTATATTCAAAATATATTTATATTAAAAATATATTTATATTTATTACTATATATATATTTACTGTATACTTATATTTATTATTTATATGTCATAATAAACGTAATAAACGCGTAATAAAAAATTAAATAAAACACACATGACAGTCAAAAGAAAATAAGCGGCGCAAAACACTCGGCCACGTGATAAACAATCGTCGAAGTTATCGCGCTATCGGAACAACCAATCGCGCGCGTCCATGGCTCTTCCGCTGATAAACACACACACGCCTACACACCTTCATTCGCTCACCTGTATCAACGCCAATATCTCGTCTGGTTTCCTCGGCTGCGACAAGAATCCCGAGGGGTTGTTCCACGTGGTGCCGCCGTGGCCGTCGGCCTCCCGCTCCACCGCCTGCTCGAGGCGCGCGATCACCTGGGACGCCTGGAAGTGCAACGCGCCCACCTCGGTGGCCGCGGACGGCGGGCCGCCGCCTCCGGCGCTGACCTGTCAAAATCAGAAGGAGGAATGTCACCGCGGGTTAACCTCCGGTTTCGCGTCGCCGATCGCGCGATCATCACCCCTCGCCCCTTCCCCCTCGTCGATCGTCCCGCGATCCGTCTCTCCTCCGGGACGACCCGGTTGATGCTCGTCACCGGGTTATACGCACCTCTAGTATGTCCTGCGCTATACTTTCCATCGCCGCGTTATCGTTTGTGTCAGCCTCCTCGGCCATCGTGGCAGTAGTCGTGGCCGGCAGTAGCGTCGCCTCGATTGCGTCCACGATCGATCGATCAACCCTCGTGTTCGCGGAAAAAATCTCCCGTCAAAATTTTCTACGGAAGGCGCGTCCTTTGGACCACGAATTTGTATTTATTTTATCGATTCTCGGGTCCTCCCTGGACTTTGGATGGGGAGGGTTAAGGGAGAGAGAAGGAACGGGGCCCAGCATTCGAGAGGGGCGACACTTTTATTTTATCGATATGGCCGTCGCAGCGCCATTCGTTCGATTCGCAAGTACTTTATCGGAACGCTTGTCCGATTGTATTTCGTTGCGAAAAACGTGGAGAGTAATGGAAAAGTGTTTTTAATATTTTTTAGATATCTTAATCTTTTTTTTTAATCGAACATGGTTGCGCTTTTTATCAAATAGGTTGAATCATATTTTATAAACGATGTTTCACATCATCAATTATTTTTTCGGTTTCTATCAATATGTGATCCATGAATATTTACTCTGTAAAGCTTTCTTTAAAAATTGACAAGATTTAAAAAGAAACATCCAGTAACTTCCAAAAAGATTCAACATAATTAAATTTTAAAAAATCTTAATATAAAATAATTGTTTATATATACAACCATCAGAAGCAATTAAATGAAATGGTAAATTGTGAGGAAAAATAATTTTTAACAGGATTTTAAAATATTGTATATATAAGATATATATATATATATATATATATATATTTTTTTTTTTTTCTTCAATACATCTTTATTAAGTTTTATAAAATAATTGTGTATATTTTAATTAAATTATTTTTTAGATTATAAGTCCTTTAGGAATATTATTCATTAATCGAAAGAAAATAGATATTATGATTGCAAAATATGATTTTTGTAAAAAATATATACACAATGTAGAGATATGTATATATTGCAATAATTTAATTTTAGGATCTTACAATAATAATAAAAATGAAATGAAATGAAATGCTACAAAGTATTTTCAATACAGGAGTAGTAGAAAGCATCGCTATATAAGTAGTAAATTTTTACTGTATAACAGATTACATTACAGATACATATAACAATATATGTAATCATGATTTATACAATCTCGACTGTACCACCGACCTTTAACAGAGACTCTTTCAATTTTTCTGCTTCATCTTTCGCTAAATCCGCCTTCACTATCGTAGGTACGCTTTCGACAAACTTTTTCGCCTATTTTTGTACAAAATAAAACAATTTTTAATATAACACTTGATTAGAACAAGAGTACTTAACAAGTGAACTTAATACCTGAACAAGATTTGTGTCGGGTAACAGGTTCTTTATTTCCTTTATTAAAGGTATCTTCTGTTTTTCGTCATATCCTGTCAGTTTAACAGTAAACGATGTTTGTACTCGTTTTTGCACTTGCTCTTCTTCCTCCTAAATGGAAAAAATAAAAAATAATTCCCTTGAAAACTTTAAAAATTTTATCATGAATAAAATAGAATGAATAGATACTTGATATTATATATATATTTTCTTTTTATTATCTTCAAATTTAATTAAATATAATAAGATTACCTCAGCCTGACATTGCAGCAAATTGAAATTTAAATAAATATAGTTAGAACTTTATATTTTTACAAAACAAGTTACATTCCATAAAATAGAACTTGTATAATATATGTATATATAAAACATTACAATAATAAAAAAGTTACCTCAACTTGAGGCGCGGCAACAAATCCTCCCATAGGCATGACAGGTGCATCTGGTAGATTTAGTCGTTTCTTTAATAAATCACTAAGCTGTGCTACTTCTATTAGGTTAAGAGCACTTATGTCATTAGCTATTTTGTCAATTTTTGGGTCCACCGGTTTGTCCACACCTGACGGAGGTGGTTGTGGTTGAGGTGGCGTAGTTGCTGTCGCAGCACTTGTTGCCTCCGTTTGTCGAATAATGCTAAATGCATAACAAGTATATCATTGAAATAATTCCCTGTTGGAAGTGCCTCTAATTTGAGAAAGTTACCCAACATTTATTATTAAACTTTTCGTATCTTTTTATTCAATTAAATTATTTTCTGCTAATTTTTATTTTATCGAATAAAATTATATATATAAATAATATAATTTATAATATTATAAAATTATATAATATAATCTTATATTATATATTTATGATATAATATATAAGAACTAACATTATATTAATATTATATTATATTAATATAATTTAATAATATAAATATATATTATTTCGAATTTTCGAAATTAAGATTAACCATGTACAAGTGAGGTTATGTAATCTTGCTCGTTCGCATTGTCGTTCACATGTGTACTCGAGATATGTCAATCACTCACCATTTATGAAACTGACGAAATTGATGAGGGTTTTGCCGAGATATCAGGCGGAATGTGTTAATCATCTCGAATTTAGTTTTCAACAACACGAAACAAATTCAATTATCCGGGTAATAAACGATTCACTCAAGTTCAATCATAGAATAATAAGTAACGTAGAGCAGTGACAGAGAGAATACTGAGAGATGTCATGGCCTGCTTTTAGGTGATCCTTGAAAGCGATATTCCCTCTATGGACATTGAAAACGTGGACATGAACTACAAAGCCAATGTCCATGAATGTTCTCAGAGGGTATCATGTGCACAATTTCTGGTTTCGTTCCGTGCTATGTGCACGAAATGTCGGTAACACCAGAGTATAACAAGACACTCATGTATATAAATTGATAGTAAATAAATTATGCAATCGTGAAAGATACTGTAATCTTCTAATGTAATGTTCAAAGATGAAATAATTATTTTTCTATATTCATTGCCATGTTTATATATTTTTATTTACAAAACACGAAATGTCTGCTGTGGAATAAAAACATTTTTAACCGTTATTTCTATAAATCTTAATTAGCAATAAACTGATCTTTGATATTTATTAATCACTTTTTTAATTATTTAAAAAAGTTATTATATTATTAATTATTTACTTATTTATTTATTACTTATTTAATTATTAATACATGTATAGAATTTGTCAAATTAATCACTGATTGATCTAAAGTTTTTATAATTAAGATTCGAAAAATATAGTTGCAAAATATTTTAAATATCTCTTCCTTTATATAAAATATAAAGAATTCATATGTTCCATTCTAATATAGTCAACATTATTTATATACTTTTATTATAATTTTCTTACCAGCATAATATTTTTATGCTTAATATTTTATATAATACAATGTACTAAATTATAAAATTTAATATAATTACAAAATAGTATTACTATTAATAAATAGGTTGTATTCATACTGTCTTTTAATTTCTAATCATTTCCAATCATTATGCATTTCTATTATCTATTTCTATTATCTATTATCTATTATCTATTATTTTCTTCTTTGAGTTCTTGGATTATTATGGTTTATTGTATAATTTGGTGTTAAAATCATAAGGATTATCATCATTTGTCATCTTATTCCTTTCTATGGAGTCCATCGAAATATTTTCTATGGACATTTGTTCTCTCGAGTATAGATATTCAAATCACTCAGAGAAAGAGAAAGAAAGAAAGAGGAGGAGAAAGGGTTTGAGATATTCAAAATCACTGTAGTTGTCTTTTTTCTATTTTCTCAATTACTGTCTCTTTTTCTTTCTTTTTATTCAAAAATATTAATATAATTAAAAATAACATATATATATATATATATATATATATATATATATATATATAATTTTTTGATATCTTTCTTAGTCTGACTCTTCGACTTGTCTGGCATAGGTAACTCTATCTAAGGCCGGCATTCATAATTCATTCTTATATTTAAGATCGTCTTAAGTAAGTTGGAAAATACAACTATTACTTTTACTAACTGATTGGAATCTCAAGACGCGATCTAAGATCATACTTAAGATTATTTTAAATATAAAAATAGTCTATATATATGAATATCGGCATATTATACGTTACTGCCGGCATAGCTCTTAGGTTCATTAGAGTACTCAAACCTCATCCGGCAAATGCCTCTGTAAGGTGGAGACGAAAAAAAAAATTTTTTTTAATTTTATTTTTATTTTCTTTCAATACAGGGTTTAATACAAAAGTGAATGTAAAATATAATTTGAAACTTAATACAAAATAATTTTTATTTATTACATGGAATAATTTAATACACGAAAATGTCTCTAAAATATACGTATAATATAAAATTTACTAAAAATTTTTATATAGTCTAGACAAACCCGATTAGCGATGATTAATTATGCAACATTTATCATAAATAATCAATATGCGATAATAGAATTTAATAAGGGACTCTAAATACAGAATAATAATCTTTGTTCCAAGATATCGCAAAATATCGCAAAATATCGCATTGTAATTGAACCTATACTATCCCTAGATAATTAATATTACACTGCGCCTATAAATATCGCAAAATATCGCAGAAAGTTCTTGAAGCGCATATTTCATGTAATTTATTCATTTAATCAAGTAAGAATCATAGAAACAGAAATCTAAAATAATAAATTATACTTTATCTAAGATTGATTTTTACAAGAAGAAATTATTATTTTAATGATATTTATAGAATAAAATTCCCGCGACGCTTTATCTCGTTCTATTTTTCAATTATTTAAAATTTAATTTTTTAATTTAGAATCAAAACGCACAGCAAAATAATCGAATCATAAATCGAAATAATTAACATAATAAAAAGCTTTGCGATACATGAAATTAACAAATATTATTTAATTAGTCCATGTAATCTAAAACTTTTAGACACTTTAACATTTCGTGTATATGTTAAAGTACGTAAAATATATCAGCAGTGAATGGATAATAACACGGTCGGCCTTGGCGGCGTATGACGCGTTGTGTTTACATGTATGGTCTTGATATCATTCACACGGCAACATTCGAAGAGTAAGGTGCGAAATACTTCGTATATTAAATTTTTTCTCTAACGATAAAACACAATTATGACTAGTATTAAAACATAATTCGCTATGATAATTATAATTAGTACTTGCTAAACTTTTAATTGTAATTACTACGCGATCGGGAATGCCGTGCAAAATGTCTCGCGATTTTTGTGTATACTAATTTTAATTAACTAATCTTAATTAATCTTGTTTTCAGGAGTGAAAGTGAGTGCAACGAAAAAATAGCGAAGGAGAGGAAAAGCAAGTCTAAAAAGCATTGGGCCACGTACTAAGCAACATTATCCGGTAAATAGTTTATAAATTATTTATCATTTATATTTATCATTTATATTCAGATTATATATATATATATATATATATATATATATGTCATTTATATTCAGATCATATTATATATTGCATGTTTTCTCAATAACGATTCTCTCTCTTTTCCTCTTCCTCTCTCTCTCTCTCATTTACATAAATTATTTAAGTTTTTAAATTATATTAGTATAATATATATATAAAATATTCTGGTTTATCTTATTTTAATATACTAAATACAGCAAAATAATCGAATCATAAATCGAAATAATTAACATAATAAAAAGCTTTGCGATACATGAAATTAACAAATATTATTTAATTATCCATATAATTCTAAAACTTTTAGGACCACTTTAAACAATATATTAAACTTTTGACTAAATATTATTTTTAATTTATTACCCAATCCCTCTTTTCTTTTTTTTT